GAGCGGTGAGTGAGCCGAGCGTAGTGGTATGTAAGTTTGGTGTTAGCAACAGTGTGTGGGCGCGGGGCCCGAGCCGCCGATGTGATAAACAGAGCTCGCTCGGCACTGTCACCAAAGTGGTTCCGGGTTCTGTTCTGGTTACAACGCAAAAATGGCATTGAAACTAAGAAAGCCGTATCCCGTGGTAACAAGTAAACCATATCAGGGGATTTTTTGGGAGGGGGGGATCACCATAAGAGGGGCTTTTGTCAACCCTGCGTTTCTCTTAGCAAGACTCGGGCTACCCCCTGCCTACACGCAAAAGCAGATCAAGTCATCTACGTTGGGTGGCGGGCAATTAAATGTCCGTTGGGCCAATTCATACCTAAGGTAAGCAGCCTCCCGGAGCCAATTTTCTGGGTTGGTGTGGTGTAAGGGAAGAAAATGTGATAAAAAGATACTGTTGCAGGTGTCCAGCACATGTTTTACATCCCAATTAGTAGCAATGCTGATCCAGAAATGTACAACAAAGCAGCCATACCATCATTCCGCGGCAAGACATTCGGAGACAGCCGGGCCAGGACAGTGGCCACCGGCGTCGGACGGGAGCCGGGCTCAGACAAAGAACATGTGACAGAAGAACCTCTATTCTGTGGCTTGGTTCTCGAAGGAGAATCTCCAGTTCTATGGCTTTCGTCACATGGTTTTTGGCAGCTTCAATCTTCCGAATTCGTTTCCGCCTAAAATGCTGCGACAAGTCTTATCTCTTGAAAAGCAGCCAGCGAAATGAAGGCGAATGCAAAATCTGTTGTGCCGTGAGTCATCGATTCACTTTCAAAATTCCGCCAGCCTTTGCTTAGGCCATATTTTGGCATCGACCCTGTGTAGACAGATGCCTCCTCAATGACCCACAATGCCTAGCCCCTCGTGGAATTCGCGTCCCAGGAAAGACAATGCTGAAATGGAGAATAACCTTGGGAAGCTAGTGTCATTTACCGAATGACATAGAGGTCGGATAGGCAAGAGTGTGCACCAGAAAGAAACAGCTCTAGATGCAGATCTAGAATATCAGTCATTACATTCGAATAAATAGCGATAACCTCCATCTCCCTACCCCCCCCCCCCCCCCAGTCATCGGGCTTTTTCCAGAAAAAGTTCTTGAAGTACGCCCTGAACTTGCCTCCCCCCCCTTTGAAACGTTCCTACGCCTATGAAATAAACAAATAAACAATTCCCGCTGTAGAGGGCCAAGACCCAATGTAGAGGCCTCCCGAGTGATCGGGTGCCCGAGCAAGTTAACAGATGGGGCTCCCAACAAGAACGTAGGGCTCTCTATTCAAAACAGGAAGTACCCAAGACCCAATGGGCCTCGGATTGATCGAGTGTGCCAGAGCGGGTTAACATATATGGTTTCCGTCAAGAGCGCAGGGCTCTCCATTTAAATAAAAAGCACCCAAGACCCAATGAAGGGAGCCCCCGAATGTTCCGAGTGTGTCCGAGCAGATTACCAGGCAAGGCTCTCAACAAGAGCGAAGAACCGTCCATTCAAAAAGGAAGCACTCAAGACCCTATGTAAATAGCCCTCGAATGACGGAATGTGCTCGAACAGCTTATCAGAAGGGGGCCGACAAGAGCGTAAAGGCCTCCACTCAAATCAGAAGTGCCCAGAACCCAGTGCGAAGGGCTCCCGAAAGGTGGAGTGTACCCGAGCGGATTATCAAATGGCCCCGACAGGAATGCAGGGCCCAAAATTCAAACACCAAGACCCAATCTACAGGGTCCACGAACAGTCCAGTGTGGCCGAGGAGGCGAACAGAGGGGGAAGGGGGAGGGGGCCGCCGACGTGTGCGTGGGGCCCCATTGAAATACGACGTGCCCAAGACCCAATGAAGAGGGCTCCGAATGTTCAAATGTGCCCGAGCAGGTTATCAGATAGGCACCTCACAAGAGCGCAGCCCCCCTCCCATTCAGAAAAGAAGTACCCAAGACCCAGTGCGGAGGGTCCCCGAACGACCGACTGTGCCCAAGCAGGCTATCAGATGGGTCTCCGACAAGACCGTAGGGCCCAAGCAAATGATAGAGAACTGGAAGCGCCCTAGACCAATAAACTGGGCCACTGGGCGTATCGGAAGTGTGTCGGTAGGTTAACCGAGACACACGTAAAGGGCCCCTGAGCAGCCAAGAATACCCTGGCAGGTTAAGATATGGGGCCTCGGCTATAACTCAGTCCTTCTGGCGAATGGAAAAAAGCCCGTTGAAGGGCCCTTGGTCGAAAAGTGTTCTGGCACGCTAGCAGGGAGGCCTAGCAACAGTGCAGGGCTCTCCGAGCAAATGCAAAGAAATCAAGGGCAACGTGGAAAGCTCCATTACGATTGGAACGACCTTGCAAGTAGGCGTATAGGTCCCCAGAAGCAGCATAGGACCCTTAGACAGCGCAATAAGGCTTAGAATTCTCAATTTAAAACTTTTTCAATCACTGAAGTCTTTTTTTACTCCTCATGGGTCCTTCACTTTCGCCTGCAACTGTTCTTGGCCGCTTGGAAATCCAGAAATCGCTAAGTTTGTTGCGGTGTGTAAAAATCTACACCTGTTCGGACAGCTATGGGGCCCTTTTAGAGTCAATGGGCCCCTTCGAGGCCCAAGGGGACCATGGTCCAGTGCCTCTGGATCCGCCCTTGGCCGCACGGGCCGTGATCTTTTGTGTAACACACAGCAAGCTATTCGGGCCCTTATGGCCTCCAACCAGGTACTTGATCGTCGGTCTCGGAAAGCCCCGGGTCCGTCTTCGGGACTCATTGAACATTGCTCTTGGTCGGCTCGAGACCCTTTGCCAACACAGGACCCTCTGGTAGGCACTGTGGGCCCCTGATAGATGCAGGGGCCCCGACCAGCATAAATCACTAGCCCCAGCTTGGTCGCTGCTCTGAAAGTGAGCCCTTAGACTTATGCCGACACGGAGCCCACTGTACGGTACTGCTGGTGCCAAACCGTGATATAGGCCCTTATCGACTTAACGTTCCCTGAACGGCGCAAAAGTGCCGTAGTTTTCAAGTTTTTTTCGAGTTGTCCGCTCTTTCCGAACTGTAAACGCCAAACCGGGAGCCAGGACACCAGTGGTCCTTCTCGCGGGCGGTGGATTAGAGGGACAGGTCCTCCCTCCAACTTCGGGCAACATTGAACGCTAAGTGTATGGCGGTGCATGAAGAGCAACGAGGTACCAATCACGGTCACCCCCCTCCCATAAACGTTCCACCGCTACCGCATCTTTCAGATACAAAGATCGCACCATACGTGCTACACACTGTATAATACATGCCAGCCTTTGCCGCGACGAAATACTTGACAATTCGAAAAATCATTCCCTACGATAGTTTCCAAACTTAATACCATTTACAACCACTACCATCCATTCGATTCTCAACCGTCTCTGCGTCTGCTGTAGTGAGCCTTGGCTCTATCATACGGCCTCGCATCTGCTTGCCAGCGTCGAGCCGTCGCCCATGGTAACCGATGGAATTGTCGGCAAAAACTGCCTAAAAGTGTTGCACTCTGCTATAGCGGTTCCTTAATTTGCTGCTAAGTCTTAATGGAAAAGTACAAGTCCAATAGCACTAAAACACTTAAGTTGATGAAAATAGACTGAAAGTGCACAAAAAGCACAGAAAGCTTCACCTTTACCGAAAGGGAGGTTTTAAAAGACCATGACAGTGTACCCCCCGTGTTCTCAACCTGAATCGAAAGACTCAGCCTTCATCTCGCGCAAACACGTGTGGAGGCATTGTGATGATAATGGCCTGGGTAATGCAGCGTCCGTGCGACGAATCCAGCTGGCGGGCCGATGCGAAATGTGTAGTCTCGAACGTGACGTCCGGTTAGACTTGGGTGGGCAGGATTGCTTCCGGTGGCGAGTCCCCCGATGGATCCTGGAGGCAAACGTGATTCATCCCCCGATTCTTTCCATGCGATGTCATAATGCTTATCATAGATTTTGCGGATCTGGACGGTGGCCATCCAATCTCACAGGGGCGCAGAATCGCACAGCGGCAGAAGCGCATGATTGCACTTGGTTGGAGTCGCTCATGCCCGCCCCCCTCCCATCCTGACGGACCCACGCATGGCTAGGTACCTGCTCAATAAGGAATCCTAGCAATGCAGGCAGCACAAAATAAGAAAATAGCATATTCTTCTGGAAATGGCCAAACCCAAATGCAAGATGTCTATACCGCAAGTCCATTCGCTGGTGTCCGCTGTTCACATACACCGGCCCTTCGGTCAGGTAACCGCCTCTAGCGTGCGACGTTAGCTATGACGCGGTAGCTCCAGATGACATATCGAGACGTCACCGACCTCCACATCGGTGATGTCCGACATCGTGCGCACGCGCAATACTCAAGTACATGTGACCATCGCCCAACTGCCTGCAGTCTCCATTTACATGTTTGCGCAGCCGAGTACGGGTAATGGGGGGATGACTGAAGAAATCCGTGGAGAAAGAACGAGCCGGGTGAACGAGAACCGTGTCTGAATTATTTCACGCGTCTCGCATAGCTGGGAATGCCCGCCGACTGGCGTTGCCAAAGCTCCACGCTAGTTGGCAAGAATAGCCTTTTGTGGCACAATATCCTATAGGGCAAATTAGGCTCCGTGCGGGTTCCGGTCAGAGCGAAAGCTAACTCGTACGCCTCGCGACTACACGACAAAGTAAGAACATCATTTATTTATGAACGAAAACACAGAATACCCCAATGCCGATAATCACCGGCGCAATGTCGTCACTTAGTAGTCTGACTCTGGCCCTTGCTGCTGCCCTTCGTGCTTGTATCACTTTTCTTGGGGAGCAGGACAGCAGCCTGGATGTTGGGGAGAACGCCACCCTCACGCTATCGTGACTGCCCGACAGCAGCTTGTTGAGCTCCTCGTCATTACGAATTGCCAGTTTGCAAGTGACGAGGAATGATCCTGGGAAAAATGACCATTGAAACATTTCACCAACTAGAGTACATCAATAGTGACTTAAGCGAGGGCATGTTCTTTGAATCCCCCTCCTTTCAGCGTTGCATGACCTAATCGAGGTGAGGCGGCAGATCCAAAGACCCAACATCGACCAGCATGTCGATTATCATTCAAACAGTATAGGACAAAACGAACGCAACTGATTTATTTTCCCCTGGGGTTGACCAAAAATGTTTCCAAGACACCGGACTTATATGGCAAGGTTGAGTGAACACGATGGTCCATGCGAATTTCGTTAAGACCACGTCCTGACTACAAGTAACCATTGCTGTTGATTGAACGTCGACTCACCTGGCCTTCTTGTTGTCCCGGGCCGGCATTTCCCGCCAGTTCCAGGACCTCGGCGGCCAGGTACTCCATCACAGCAGCCAGGTACACGGGGGGCACCGGCGCCCACGCGCTCGGCATAGTTGCCCTTGCGCAGCAGCCGATGGCATGCGATCCAACAGGAAACTGCAGGCCAGCGCGACTGGAGCGCGACTTCTGGCTTGTCCTTGGACTTGCCTGGAATGCACAGGCAGTGCCAGTCGTCAGTTTGACTGTACGGTGTGCTTCGGTGTTGTTACGCACACTAACCTGGACAGCATTAGCAAATGCATGATTTCATACCTACCAAAGAACTAGCCACCATGGATGATGCTACCATACAGGAACAAAAACAATCACTCCATTTTGGTTTGCTGCGGCATGACTCACTGCACTGAATCACTCCAAGCATGGGAGCAAATAGACATACAAACAAGAATTCAAGGCCAGCCAGATGTCCTAATCAATGCTCATCGCACAAACTCCCAGTTTTAAAAGCCATCCATAAATCCTGCTCCACTTTTTGACCTCTCTCAACCCCATGTGATTGCACTCAGTAGAAAGCCTCCCTCCCTCAGCACCCTGTCAGCTGCATTGCTCCCCAAATTTGGGGTGACTGGAAATGTAAAAAAAAAACACAATGAAATGTGATTTTTTGGGTCCATAGTTGAGCTCAGGGTACAAAATAAAATGGACCACGCCGCTTTTTGTTAAAAGAAACCGATGGCATCCAGATTTAAGGCCACAGAACATTTTTGACTGACTTGAGCATGATTTGCAACCACATCTGAGCATAATGTTATGCTGTTAAGAGCCCCTCCCTTGCTACCTTTGATTATATTACATCATCCCTCTACATGAATAATTCAATATACAGACAACCCCCCAAAATATGACATCAAACCCCACATACAGACTATGCATGGCAAACAATGTCTAAGAGAAGACAGATTCTTTATCTCACCTCCTTTTCCTCGGGCAGACATATCTGATTCAGATCTGAAATAACGAGGACCTTCAATGACAACCCAGCAGACAAACAAAAATGGAGCAGATCTCACAAAGGTGGTCAAGTGGGTGAAGGCAACATTCATGCCTGTGCAATATATGGTCTTCATGCTCTTGGTATACAGCAACAACATGGAACATTTCATGGTATTCCAGAGAAAAACTAGCACATTATGTCCATATTTTTTAACAAATATTGATACACACATTCTCACAGTAATACTAATCTGAAATCAATAAATTAGGGCATTCTAGCAGTGCTTCTCATACAGTTGTCTATGGTAACCTGTATCCCAACCAAAGAAGAGTTGTAGTGGCACACACCACTAATGTGCAGGGCCCATAAGTAATTTGCAGCATTATACTTGCATAGTTTTGCATTTTTGCCCCACTCTGCTAGATTCCATGACCACACATGACACCTCTCCAAACTGTAACATTTGCAATCTCTGAATACACCCCAATGACTCATCTGGTGGGAAAGATATTTCCTTTTCAGCAATTTCAGGACTGTTGTGAACTAATTACAATGGACTCCAGCACATCCATACATGTGAAATAGGAAATAAGCTGTCATCCATTGAAATATGAAATGATTGAAATGTGTTGACATGACTACCCATTAATGACCTCAACTTTCATACAGGATTTCACCAAAGTTAGCTTAAGCATATCCAATGTATAGTTTCAAACATCTTCTGGAGCCATATGCTGAGTGTCATTACAGGTGGTCCATATTGGGCAAAACACAATAAGCTATTCACAACATTTTTGGAATCATGTTTCATAACCAAATCATCTGCAAAATCCCTTGGGAATTAACTGTGCTGACTAAGTGACCTTGAATGATGCCAGGCAGTTTAAAAGAATGGAGTTTTCAGCATGCAATAAGCTAATAAAATGCTGACAAATAATTTTCTATGCCATAAGTTGTCTGACTGGACAGGAGTCAAAGTTGTCAGTGGAAGAAAGGGACCTTTGACTGCTCGAAGGATGACAAGGGCCTGTGTGGGTGGATAAACATTTGTTTATGTCCAAGTGACACTGAATATTCTGATCTTAATTGAATAAATTGATTACACATCATTACTAAGATCAGCATTTTAGAATTGGGACACATTGTTGATATACACAAAACACAACACTGCAGACACTGCTTGGAAATGTATACAAATATTTCCCACAATAAGTACAAATGCACATATCTATAATTTAGCTCCATTCATAAAGCCGCATATCACACTAAAACAAGCCATCTTTTCTGGCAAGCGCCAATGTCACATAAACCAGTCACCATCCTAATACCAGCAAACCTGCCTGAAGCTGTGAAACACCAATCCATGCTCCTTTTGCATATATGCACAGCATCCTATCAATAATTTGACATTCATCCTACATACATATATATAGATCAGCCTTCACACAGGACTGGGAACATCACTCATCCTCAGCAATAATGAGCTGTCAGATTTTGCTCTATTTGCTAATGGTAAATGTACACAGATAACAAATAATCATTCACTGGAAACAAATTAGGTAAACATCACATGTGAACATTTTAATAGCCTTTAACTTCAAACATAAGAAAACCCATCTGATCCAGGCCAAAATTTCTCACCAGCTTTCCAGTGCTCTTAAACGGTGACACCAGTTTTCCATTGGGCAAGGCAATCTCAGTGAGCGCCTATGAAATTTCTAATGACGTCCGGAGCCATCTATGGTGAAAATTACCTAGTGAACCTAACATGGCCTATGGTGTTTATGACCCTGTACCAAAACCCTGCTAAGCAATTTCGATTCCTACCCTACGAAGATCGATTCTCCACTGACCCGCCGTGTAACAAACAATCTCTGGAAGTTTTGAAGAGCAGTAACAGCTATCACAATTTTAAGCAATGCAATGCAGTCCGACAAGACCCACCAACCACCACTTACCAGACTCCACGCCCACCACAGAACCGTTTACGCGACGATTGGGACCCAGCGTGTAACAGATGGGAGAAATACCATTACAAATATTTTTGGCGGGACAACGTTTCAAGCAAAGAAAGCGGCAGCTAAATTGACAAGGTGCCAACGGACCCCTACACCTGATTCACACGCGGATGAAGCTCCCCGCCAATTTTCGCTGGCGCAGTGGCGCGGGAGGAGTCCTTTACTGTAAAAAGTCGGCTGGATCTGAAAACCACATTTGCTGGCTATTTCGTGTGCATTGTTACCAAGTCTCACTGTTCAGCCCCAAACTCGCTTTGCAGAACACCCCGCTGTGGCCTCGGGCAGCTGTGGCATTTGCGGGCAGGCTGGCTCTGAGCCATGTAACCACCCATAACTAATATTATTTGCATTAGTTTGCGTGCCAATAAACGCTGAAAATCGGGTGGAGACGTCAACATAGCCCGATTTATAACATGCCATATTGTGCCCACGCAGCACGCTAAAACGTTCCTGTGTAAACAAATTGAGCTGCGCCCTCTCCATTGCACATGTGCCCTCTCCACTTAAAACACCGTTGACGACTACCGTGCAGACGGGGGCAGGAGTGCCGCACCGCATCTGGGAGGAAAACGCTCCAGATTATTTGTCAATTGCATTATCATCAGCTAGCAAGCAACACTGACAAAGATGTAGCTGATTTCCACCGCCGTGGGAAGGATTAAAGGCCCGCCTGCCGCTTGGATCCCACAATTCATGCATAAAACAATAAATGGTACGCAGGAGCGCACACACAGTTCTGCAAGTTACCCTAGTTTGAGCGTGCTGCCACACGAGCGTCCAAACGGATCTACCAGGGACGTAAGCACCGCTATTGGGCTGTGACACTGATGCGGTTTACACATGAATACACATGCGGTAAGAGCCAGGCCCGCGTGGCTCGCAGTATCGTTCGCGTCTCACTTTTGTGGACTCGACGCGTTAACGTGCGTTGTCCCGACCCCAGCGCTCGCCAAACCACAGGCCAGTGACGTCTGACAGCCGCCGGCCGTGGCTGCTCTCGCCAAACCACAGGCCAGTGACGTCCGACAGCCGCCGGCCGTGGCTGCTGCTCTCGCCAAACCCACAGGCCAGGGACGTCCGACAGCCGCCGGCCGTGGCTGCTCTCGCCAAACCACAGGCCAGTGACGTCCGACAGCCGCCGGCCGTGGCTGCTCTCGCCAAACCACAGGCCAGTGACGTCTGACAGCCGCCGGCCGTGGCTGCTCTCGCCAAACCACAGGCCAGTGACGTCTGACAGCCACCGGCCGTGGCTGCTCTCGCCAAACCACAGGCCAGTGACGTCTGACAGCCGCCGGCCGTGGCTGCTCTCGCCAAACCACAGGTCAGTGACGTCTGACAGCCGCCGGCCGTGGCTGCTCCTTCAAAACGAATGTCTGCCGTGGCGCTTACATCGAGCCGCGTGTGAGCTTTGCAAAGGCTGGGATACGTACTATATATATATATATATTATATATATATATATATATATATATATGTATATAGTATTTGTATGCAGAGAACATTCTCTCTCAGGTCGTTGGTTTTAGATCAAAACATGATTAACCTTCATCAGCCTTTTTCAGTCATTTCGAGCGTCCGTATTGAACATTTCGGTGGTTCGAGGGCGCGCCAACAATTAGGCCGTAGCGGTGTTCGTATAGTTGCACACACGTGCACACACGGCACACCGTCAGCAGGCATAAGGCACACGAGGGTCGGCCGCAATACTATTGCCGCCAGGAGACGCGGAATTCTCGAAAAAAACTGGCAACAGTAACAAATCATGACCGGCTGGTTTTATACGAGAAATAAGACGGACGAAAAATAAAAGCTTTCGATTACGTCACGGTGTTCCCTGAGGGGTGTCCATACCCCTGCATATGGGGGCATCGCCCAACCCCGCCCGCTGGCTGCTGTGCCTTTTCAAGCCGAGCCGGAGGTCACGCCCTCCTGGCCACGAACCATACACAGAACAGGCTTCCTACCGCCAGCCGAAGCCTTTCGAAAGAACACAAGGACCTTGCATGGGGTTTTTATACAATGAGCGATGACCAGCACTCATCGCGGGAGTAAACGGAAAACCGTATCACATAAAGCGATGTTATATGATCCATATAAATTGATCACGATCACATTAATACAGGCAACACATTCCAGCAGCATCTCAACTCAGGGACGCCTCATTTCATTTCCAAAACGCCGCACAGAGGCGCAGTCTGCCGGTCGCACCAGTAGTTCTCTAGGTGACCGCTAGCCAAGCGCCACTCTGCCGTAGAAGCCAGGCGACATGGTCGCCGAGGATGGGCATGCTGAAGGCGGTGGCGATGTTGCGGAACACGCGCAGACGACTGAGCAGGTCCGAACGGCTGTCGAGGCCGCGGTACTCGCCGGCGCACTCGCAGATGGCCGACATGTTCAGTTGCTTTACCTGCCGACCGAGCCACCGAATCACGACCAATCAGCGTCGATCAAAGGGGCTGGTTGGGGTGATGACCAATGAAGCATTGTGAAACCAGGCCCGGTTGGGGTGGCGACCAATCAGCACCCCGCATTACGCCCAGGTTGGGCAGATGACCAATGAGACACAGCCAGACGGGCCCCAGGAGACCAATCGAACATCAGGAACCGAGTCTCGGTTTCGGTGGACATGAGGGGACTGAAAAAAAACCAGTGCCGAGCAGAATACAGAAAAGAACAATGCCATTAAATGTATGACCCAGGGGCTTCGAGCCATGCATGACACCAACGCACGTAACGCATAGCATAGCTGCTGCGACATTGGAAACCATGTACATATGCCATAACGAACGGGATCGGAGACAGACCTGTTTGCACTTGACACACTGCAGATCCTGGAGGACGAACGACACGAGCTTGCGCTGCATGACAGAGAGCAGCGCGTGCTCGACCTCGTCCTGGTCGTACGGTGTGTCGCACAGCGGACACTTCCAGCACGGCCTAGCGGGCGGGAGGGACGCCACGTGAGGGAAGCCGACGGCCACGGCCTCTTGTGGCAGACGCGGCATCGGTACCCCGGCGGTGTCATTGCTCAGCAGGTTGCTGTTGTTAGTAGTAGATGACCACCAACAGGCAGCGCACAATATCCGACGCCAGGAGATGGCATTCAGGAAATATGTGTGCCCCGTCATGTTCTTTGGAACCCCGTCTTTGGAAACGTGTTGTGCCGTCCGCCCTGCCCACCCGTTTGCACCCTTTTGACGCAGGAGTATGCCATATTGCGACTGTCTTAAGCAAGGCCGAGAACAAAGCCGGGGTTCAAAGCAAGAAAAAGTACGGCTGACCTTGAAAAAAGCTGCACCAACATACCCAAAAAAAATGTGGTGTGGCCAAAAAAGCCCTCCATCCAGTCAGTGAACAATGGGCACGGTGCCCCAGGCCTGGCACTCTATCCCGTCCACAATCTGTGCCGTTTACGCGTCTGTGCCACGCGTCCCACGACCCCCGCTCCTGACCACCCCGCCCCTTGCCTGCTGCTGGCCAGCCAAGCCCTTCCGCGCTCCTGACCACCCCGCCCTCTTCCTGCTGCGGGCCAGCCAAGCCCATTCCCGCGCTCCTGGCCACCCCGCCCCTTCCTGCTGCTGGCCAGCCAAAGCCCATTCCGCGCTCCGGGCACCCCGCCCCCTGCCCCGGCCTCCTGGCCTTGGCGCCTCACCTGCCGCCCGCCTCGCCCACGTGGCCGTGGTCCCGGGCAGAGGTCGACGTCGCGGCAGTGGTTGCAGGCCTTGCAGATGACCTCGGGCAGCACGTGCGAGACGCACGGGGTCAACCCAGCTCGGCTTCGGCGGCGAACTCGCCGACCCCGATCAGCTTCAGCAGGTCGCGGCGCAGCTTGCTCACCTCCGCCTCCACGTGCTGGTCCAGCGACAGCACCTGCCGCAGCGCCGACACCCGGTCAGGGTGGGTAACAGCACTCCTCCGTCAGCCATGTCAGGAGGGACGGCTGCAGAATATAGCACGCACTGTGTGCGTTCGACATTAGCCACATGGCATGATTAATTCGCTCACTGCTGGGCGGCATGGCGACAGTGGTGACGTGGGCACTGATAAGCTCGTGATGCATGCGACTGTCAAGCACGTGATGCAAAGCGGTCGCAGGCTTCACCATTAGCTCTTAGCTAACCTCCTTGTTCTTCATGCGGGGTGTAAGTTACGCATGCAAATGTGTGATAGCTTCATAGTGCCGGGTCATGACAGGAATATGCAAACATCGCTCCACAAGGTCAAATACGGTAACATCGAGCACCATTCCCGTAAGGCAGGTTTTATGTGAAATAAATGTTTGTGTCAAACACTTAACACGCGAACCCACATAAAATGAAACCCAGACATATGCGAGAAAGCGAAAAAGGAGGTGCGGGAAACATTTTTATTCGTACTTCTTTTAGACGAACTCTTCACACGAGCCTCCCCGCCCCCTGGATGAAACATGGCGAATAATGACATTCAAGACGGTCATGTCAGCACAGTTCCGAGAAACTGCGCGTGACGAACAAGCAGACATAACGGAAACCGTGCAGAGTGCAGGAGGAAGCCGGGCAGAGCACGAGAGGGAGGAAACCGAGCAGAGCGCGGGAGGAAGCTAGACAGAGTGCGGGAGGAAGCTGGACAGAGTGCAGGGGAGGAAGCCAAGCAGAGCGTGGGGAAGCCGGACAGAGCGCGGGAGGGAGGACGCCTGGCCGAGCACGAGAAAGAGGAAACCGAGCAGAGCGCGGGAGGAAGCCGGACAGACTGCGGAAGGAAGCCGTGCAGAACGCGGGAGGGAGGACGCCAGACAGAGCACGAGAGGGAGGACGCCAGGTAGGGCACAGGAGGCGGGCAGAGCGTGGAACGGAGGCGAGCAGGCAGGCGAGCCGGTACCTTGCAGATGGCCTTGACGAACTCGAGCGCCGGGTTCTGCATGAGCAGGTGAGAGCCGGTCAGCTGCGGGAACAGCGCGTTCGGCTCCGAGCCGCGCGTCGTGTGCAGCTTCTTCTGCATCTTCTGCGTGATCCTGGCGGCCCGGGGCGGCGGACCGTGAGCGGCGGGTTCAGAGCACACGCTCGGCAGTGTTTCGGAGCGATGCGACGACAGAGGCGAGAGACGGCGGCTACTCGGACACGTCAGCGGCCACGTGACACTACAGAGGCGATCGCTCGCACTGGCGGTTAGTCCGCGAGGCGCCTGTAATTCTAGCAAGCCAGCTGACCGACTCACATGAACAGCTTCTGCGCCATCTCGCCCGTGATGAGGTTCTTGGCGAAGTCGACCGCGTCCTGGAACTTGGCCTGCGGCTGGCTGGAGACGCGCCGCCGCACCGGCGTACGACCTGAGGTCAGGTCACCGCGTCACCCCCCACTCCGAGCAGGCGGCGCGGGTCACGGTTGAAAGGCCCCCGATCCACGCACCTTTCAAAACCACGTCGTTGCAGCCTGGCACCGTACGGGGCGTGACTTACACCGTACGCCATCGTAAGTCATGGTCCATAATTCCATGATTCACTCTAACACTGCAGAAACCTACAACAAATATAGAGAT